AACCCAATAACAATGAAATACAACTGTCATAAAGATAAGATGGCTGCTATATAGCAGCATAGTAGCTATCTTCAGAGTATTTAGAAATTAACTATAATATTTCTTACAACAATTTTCTTGAAACCATTCAAAACAATTCTATTTTGACCTATCTTGTCCCAAGTAATACATAGAGGGTAAAGGTGATTGAGTCATTCATTAAGTGACTCTAATATAATCAAGTCTAAAATCATTCCCAAGGGCATTGCATACCAGAAGGGGACCTGAAAGTTCATCACTGCTGCAGACTGGTGGTGGCAGTGAATTACAATTTGTGCATGTCTTGCATGTTCCAATAAGTGTGCTTAATTCCAAAAAGCGATGTTGCTGTTTACCACTCTTCAAATCTTTGTGAGAAATGTCTAGATATGTTTTTAATGAACATAATAGAACAAAGAACCTAATAAATAATATAGATAGAATTATTGAAACACCATTTTTATAACTAATAAAAGGCAAAGCCTGTTACCCTATGAGGTCAGTTTTGCTCTGGAAACTGCCTCTTTAAAATGCTGATGAATGCCGAAACTGGTTTGGCTCGGTGGATAGAGCATCAGCCTGCGGACTGAAAGGTCCCAAGTTCGATTCCGGTCTAGGGCATGTACCTGGGTTGCGGGCACATCCCCAGTAGGAGATGTGCAGGAGGCAGCTGATCGATGTTTCTCTCTCATCGATGTTTCTCACTCTATCTCTCTCTCCCTTCCTCTCTGTAAAAAATCAATAAAATATATTAAAAAAATAAAAAATAAAATAAAATGCTGATGAAAATTGCATGCCACAAATATGTAAACATGGAAATAACAACAACAAAAAAGATTTTTCTCTTTTTTTGAGAAAAAAGGAAGTATTTAAAATTAAACACAAGTAAAAGCTTAATTATTCAGTAACTAAAAATGCAATTATTATGTGTCTATCAATAATATGTAAGTGGAAATTCAGTACAAGTGTATCATAAGCTACAGAAAGTAAACTTTATCTTTTACTAGGTCTAGTTGGTATACCATATTATATTAGTTTTAGGTACATACCAGAATGATTCAACATTTCTATTCCTTATGATATGATCATGACAATGTTGGTCTAGTAAACATATGTCACCATACAAAGTTATTGTAATAATATTGACTATTTTTCCTATGCTGTATATTATATCCCCATGACTCTTTTTATATAACTGGAAGTTTGTACCTCTTATTCCCCTTCACCTTTCCCCCAATTCTCCCACTATCTTCCTCTGTAGCACTATCAGTTTGTTCTCTGCGTATATGCATCTGTTTCTGTTTTTATTTTGTTTTTTAGACTCAAGTATGTGAATTCATACAGTACTTGTCTTTCTCTATCTGACTTAGTACCCTCTAAGTTCATCCGTTTTGTTGCAAATGACAAGATTTTCTTCTTTTTTATGGCTGAGTAATATTTCACTGCATATAGATACCACATCTTTATCCATTCATCTATCAATGGGCATCTAGGTTACTTTCATATCTTGCTATTGTGAATAATGCTGCAATGAACATAGTGGGTGCATGTATCTTTCAAAAAGGCAACCTACTGAATGGGAGGAGATATTTGCAAATGATACATCTGATAAGGAGTTAATATCCAAATATACATAAAGAATTTATAGAACTCAACATCAAAATAAAAAAAACAATCCAACTGGGCAGAGGACCTGAACAGACATTTTCTTCAAAAAAGGCATACAGATGGCCAACAGACATATAAAAAAATATTCAACATCACTAATCATCTGGGAAATGCAAATAAAAACTACAATGAGATATCACTTCACACCTGCTAGAATGGCTGTTATCAAAAAGACAACAGATAACAAGTGTTAGTAGGGATGTGGAGAAAAGGTAACCATCTTGCACTGTTGGTGAGATTATATATCGGTGCAGCCACTATGGGAAATAGTATGAAGGTTCCTAAATATATTTTTAAATAGAACTACCATGCAACCCAGAAATTCCACTTCTGGATGGATATTTATCTGAAGAAAAAGTAAGCTTTAAAGTGTAATTTCAAAATAAATCTATAATGATCAATATATCTATAACAAGAAGAGGTACAAAGACCGAAATTTGCCCATTCTTCCTATACAACACCTTTTACTTCAGTAAAGAACTTGAGTTCAGACCTTCATGCACTCACACCAGGACTATCAATATGAGTCTCCTAAGTAGTTTGCTTTGCTTCAACCACATGAATGCTCTCATTTTCTATTCAAAACCTTTGCTGGTTCTCCACAAAGCAAACTCTAAACTCCTTGACCAAGTAGACAGTTAGTACCATTTAGTGCTTCCAAACATATCACCCCTAGTCCATATTCACAGGAGCCTACCCTCCCACACTTCACCTCCAAGCCCAGTCACACAAACAATGCATTCTGAATTTCTTCATGATCTTGGTCATCCTGAAGTATCCTCTCCTTTCCCTTATGCCCACATACCTGAATTCTACCCTCAAAACCAGATCACCTACATCAACTTCCCCAACCATCCAGGCTAGAGTGCCTGTAGCTGACAACACTTGTAAAGCCCTTTGTATATGCCATCTCCTATATACTGTGTATTCAAATATATAACTTATTCCAACTGTACCACAAAATTTAAGAACACTTCATACACCACTTCTTTATATTATAATACCTTTACCCAACCTCTGCCCTCCATAACCACAATGGCCAGCATAGCATCTTTCTGATGCAGGTGTTCAGCTAGCACCTACTGACTCAAATATGTATTACATGAAAATTAAAAACTAAGAAGGATAAATATGGACCAAATAAGACTTTTGAGAAGCTGAATATCTTTTTCTTTAAAATTCTTGAGGATTTGGAATTCAAGATGATGGTATAGTAATAAGTTTGCCCGAGATGCCATGCTTTTCCAATGTGTCCCCAGAGAATCCTCTGCTTAGCTATGACAATTCACTACAAATGCACGTTATCTTGTCTATCAGCCACCCATGATTATCTAAAGTAAACACAATTAAAGAATAACCTTTACCAGATGCATAAATGTTAAACTTAATTCATGACTGCACAATTTCAAGTGAGACATACTGCTAAAATTCTAAGGACTGCATTTATATATGTATTAACCCCAAAAATGAACACACAAACATCAAGAGACATCCTAGGTGGACATATGTGTGTGCATGTGCATGATTTTTATACCTCATAGAACATTTCCAGAATAAAGCACAATTTCAGAGAGGGAAAATGAGGGAATAAAAGGGGATATTTTACTTTCCACTACTCTGTATTACTTTTTTTTAAAACCATGGAATATGTATAATTTTCAAATTAACTCATACCCCCACACACAAGAAGCAGCCTAGTGGCAATTAAAACCTTTTTTAATTAGCAGTTACTTTTAAAGTAAACAAATAAAAATTTTAGACATTAAGAGCTGAGCATGAAAGAAAACATAACTTAGACAGTGAGGTTTTGGAAGTTCAATGGGGATATTTTGTTCTGTATAATAGACAAACTCCTTCTTAACTTAGCACTTCCTAATTTAAATTATTTCATCTATGTGCCAACACTCCTATGTATTTAAGGATAGAATTACCAAAAGATATAACCCACCCTTTCCAATAGTAAAAGAGAAAGTAAACTTTTCCCAAGGTACAGGTACTAATAAGAAAAGCTTCTCAGATATTTGATAAAATTCCTCTTCCACAGTGACTTTAAATCAAATGCACTTTATAAGTACAGTGCTCAGTCCTTGTAACAAGGTGTCTGCTGAAAAATGTCTAGGCATCACACATCTACTTTCCTCCCTTTTATCAGAGCAAAGGCATCTGGTCTTTTGTGGGAGATTTTAAACCACGTGATATAAGTCTCCTGAAGCCATGATCTTCTCATCTTCATATACTAAGCCACTACAATAGTCTATCAAATAGTAGCTTCTTAGGGACCATTAGGTCAGTAAATGACATTTCCTCCAACACTATTTACTTGTAAAAATCAACAGAATAATATGCTCTGATAAGTAAGGAAATATTCATTTCTGTACATATAGATTGCCATTTTTTACATTAAAAATATATTAAAAACATAAATGATTAAGGCCTCTTTGATGAAATAACTTCAAATCCAGTTTGGTTTTATATTCGCCGAGGGATCACCTCCTAAGTCATTCTAGTACATTGCAGGAAATTCAATATGACACCCTTAAAGACAGGATGGAAGTGAGGTGGTCATAGTATATTTGGAGTGAGGAAGCCCCAGTTCTGTCCTACTCTCTTCAGGCCAGGCGAGAGTATACACACCTTGACACAGTCTAGTTTCTATATCTCAGTGACTGATCAGAAAAAGAAGGCTTTCCTTCCAAGAATCAGGACTCCTCTTTGTACCTTAAAGTGTTTCTGAATGCCTCCTCTGGGTCTCATCAGCTCACCACCTTGCAGAGATGAGAAGAGTTGCTTTTCCTACCACTCCTGCCATCTGGAAGACCCTCCCTGTTTCATTCCTCTCCATAAATAGTCCATCTGTGCTCAAATCTGATGAAATGCATCCTTGATCCTTTGCCTCCACTTCTTAATTTCCTTTGACTTCCATTCCTGTCAATTCTTCTACACCAAGTTCTTGTTTTCCATATTTTGCTATGCTGGCTACACCTTTCTGCTTAATCATTGTGGGGGTGGAGGGGGGTGTTGGATTAATCTCCTTAAAATAACAAAGTTATAGTTCTGACTGCAAACTGAGACGCTCACAACCTTTATATAAAAGCAGTAAACCACAAGATCTTTTTAAATTTTTACTAGTTGGTTTTTTTAAGAAAAAAAAGAGAGAAAGAAAATAGTTTTAGAAAGCTTTCCAGATTTATAAAGGTTTTAAATTTATTAAAACCAGGTAATTCATTCCAAACAGTTTTTATACTTCTTCCACGATGAGACCAAACCAAGTCACACAAAAAAAGGAATTTGCAAAATTTGCAAAACTCACATACCTGAGGGTATGGGGAAGTCCTGGACTTTGACTTTGAACTGGAGAGTCTGGACTTGGCCCCCTTCCTGTTGTCAGGCATGGTAGGAGTGGAGCTGCTGGCGTAGGAGAAGGTTGGTTTGGAGGCTGAGATCTGATCCAGGGAGAGTTGCAGCCCTTTGTACTCTGTGTCCCTGCAGGGTGGGAGGACATAGCCCTTAATCAACCACCACGGGCAATGGAATTCATACATTCTCTCACCAGGAATGACAGTAATCCGTATTCAAAAAGGAAGTAAGCAGTAGTTGGCCATACAACTGGTATCCACAAACACCTCGATTGTTTTAGAAATGCCTAACATTTAACTAATGTGTGTGAATGTAGCTGCCACCTATATACTACAGTCAAATTATATTACATGCTCATGAAAATGTCTTGATTAAATTTTTTTTTATTATTTTTATAAGTAGGGGAAAAAAACCTAATTCAACATCTCTCAGATTCTGTCTCCTAATTGGTGAAATATGGATTATAAAACCTACCCTAAAGATTTCCTGTATGGGGTGAACTCAACAGACAACTGGCCATCTTATGCTATCCGATTATTGACCAGAAGAATGTCTTCTATCAGCTGTTCCAAGATCAATAATCCTGATACACATTGCAAATATTCTTACAGCTAGCAAACTCATGTAACCGGATTTATAAATAAGTGAAAAATCCCTAATTAATTCAGTTACCTTAGGATACATCTTATCACCAGTTCTTTGCAGTACTTCCTCATTTAATAAATTTGTATTAAGCTCCTAATGTATATGGATTTTGTGCTCTGTAGTGATGAGAGGATAGTAAGATATGTAAAGCCCCTCCCCTTGTGCAGATTACAGTCTACTTGAGAGAAGAAACATTGAACAAATAAACAAGCATAACTGCAGACTGATATGAAGAGGATACAAAGTGTATCTCAGAGAGTTCATTGCAAAGCTACTCCATGAGATACTTAGGGGCTGGAGATGACAGCCGTGGCCCCGCCCACAGCTCCCACCTCAGTCCATTCTAGGCAGCAGGGCAGCTCCTCTGGCTCTCCGTTTTCATAGAGGATATCAACCCTTTCCACTGGCAGCCAAAATAAAATGTTTCAGTCTTCTTCATAAGGACTCATGAGAAAATTCTCCTTTAGGTTCCAGAACTAGCTGGGCTGCTCCAGAATATTTGGTATCTTTTTATTTCATGAATACTGTGAACCATATAACTCACCATGTTTTGCTCTCTGCACTAGAATTCAAAAAGCCCCAAGTCCAATCTGTAACCACCTCTAGCAAGTGTACAAGTGTCACTGCAGGTATTTGTGCAACAAACTCCACTGGCTTCCATTAGTTTTCTTATCTCTTTTTCCTTTTATCAAATGGGTTCACCTTTTAACATTTTAATATGCATTTTTATACTCTTTAGATTAGGATGGGTTTATGAAATATAATAAGTGAATAACATTATATATGTAAAAGTGACTAGCACACTTCCATGGATCAGCAAATATTCATTTACCTTTTATTCTTTTTCCCCTGTTTATTCTTCTACAGAGAGATCAGGCAAAAGTAAAAGTATAATTCAAGCCAGGAATCCCTCAAGTGACTAGGAATAGAAACCAGCTAAAACAGTTTCAATGATATCTCTGCCACAAACTACAGTCTAGTGATTATGTCAGCAAATTACAATGGCTTCATTTCAAATAATCCATCTACTCAGTGCAAGTAAAAACCAAATTCTCCTACATGAGCAACAATAATTTAGAAGGTGAGCATGCAATTTGTCTTCTGGGCTGGGGAAGTCAGATCACATCCCTGGTCTGTTTTACTGCTCTAACCAACTCCTTTAAGGACAACACACAACACAAACTGAGCACACCTTGGCCAGAAATCCAATGTGCTCCAAAATGTGGAACTGTGACTCCCATCTATTTTTCTGACAATATCCCAAATTTTTCCTTCATCAGCCCCTCACTTCATCCAAAATAGTCCTCCCCAAACAGACCTTATACTTTCCTGACTCCCCACCCCCCAATACATACCTATAAATCTCCTTTTACAAAGAACTACCTTAAATGTCATTTGCCTCTATGAAGGCCTTCCTCAGTTCCTTCCATACTAGTACATGTGTACTGAGTGTCTCTGTGTGGGCTCTGCTCCAGAGGCTGCGGAGACATCAATGAACAGAAGGACTAAGTCGCTACCCTCATGAAAAAGGCACGAGGGAGAAATAGGAAGAGGACCAGGAATTATCTTTTTCCTCCTCTAACCTTACTTTTCAAGTGATTATGTGTTATCTTTCCCAGTGAATTCTACGTTCTTAGAGGACAAGAATCAAGAGATATTCTGTTGTGCTCCAATGCCATTGGCACAATATTTCACAGTTGCAATTAAGAAAGAATTGTTTCCCCCAATGACTGCGAATAACTTGCAACCCAACAGCCTTTCTCTGTGGAAAGTCCTCATGGCTGTAGATCCCCTCACCCACTTGCCCTGAGAGCACATGTGTGACAATGAGCCAAGCAAGATGGGCTCTGAGAGAAGGTCTCATCAACATGTGGGCATCTTCTGTGTCAAATGTTATCTTGTCTACTGGGCAGCAGAGTATTCACCCAGTCCTTGCCTGGCAAGCCCTAGACTAACAGCAAAAATCATGCACCCCTGAAAATATGGCTAAATGATTCTGTACACTTGTTCTTAATACAACATTAGCACAGGGACTTCATGGCTACAGTCAGAGAGTAAACAAAACTGTTTTTCTCATGCACAATCTCAGATTCCACAAGTATGCATCTCAACTAATTGAAAAAGTTTTTCCAAAATTTTTGCATAGCTTCCAATGACAGAAATACTCCAAATTAAATAGGCTTAAATAACATTTTAAAACCAATTAATGACTTGAAATTCTAAATACTCACATGAAAACTCTAGTAAATGTAAGATTTATACAAATGCCCTTGATAAATTAATAAAAATGCTTTATGTTTTGATGCATCTCAAAAAATACAAAAATGAATCCCCTAGATCAGGGCTTGAGCCACTTCTTATGTAACAACACATCTAGACCTCAATTTCCTAGTTATACCTCATAGGGATGTGGGAGGGGGGTAGATGAAATATTATATGAAGAACTCATAACACAGTACCTAGAACACAGTAAATGCTCAATAAATAGTATTATTTCTTAACTCCCACATTCCATAGCAGTTACTCACTACCAAATTCCCCAGAACAATAGTTTCACTTTGGTAGCAATTTTGTAATCCATTTCATTACAAACACCTCCCTATGCTATATTTCTTTCCACCTCAAACTCATTTTAATCTTCTCTATTAATTTTTAGCCTCTAAACTCTATGGTCAAAATACTTATTAAGGTAAGTTCTTTATTGCTAAGTCAGCAAATGGGAATCTTAGAGCAACACAGGCCCAATACTCTGAGAAAAGCTCAGCCTGTACAAAACTCTAACAGCTCAAAAAATGTGTTCGGATGAAAAGCACAATAAAAAAAGCCCACTTAAAGACATTTCAAGTGCGGTTGATGTGCTGCCAAGAGGAGTCTGAATGGCAGATTCACTAAGAACAAAGCATTTGTTTTATTTTTAGAATTCTATTAAATTGAGTATTTCATTTGTATAGATTAAAGGGCTAGCTGCTGATGGGAATCACATTACGAGTTCCATTTCCCCCCTCCAGACTCAGACACAAAGAAGAGTCTGGCCTTACCTCTCTCCCTTCCACACAGTAAAGCATGTGCTGGTATCACACACACTCTCAGAGTGAGATGTATGCATACGCACTGCTTTGCTTTGGAGTGGGACAAAATAAAATTATTGGGCACACAGAACTTAGACTCTAAAATGAGTAGAGGGAGAACTTGACTCAGCTGACTTTCATAAAGGAAGGACACAGCCTGCTCCACTTCTGCAGCTTTCTTAGAAGTGCCACACTGACCCTGTGTGGGACTGCATGGGTGACTGTCTTAAGGGCAGCTCCTGCAGTTCTCCCAAACATGGCTGGCATATCAAAAGAGGAACTGTAAGCAGACACGTTTTGGCATATTTTTCAAAATACCTGTGATACCAATTTACATTCGTTTTCTTTTTCTCCCTTGAATGACTTCTATCATAGTTGGAGACATCCTAGGTATCTCAGCTCTGGTAGCAGGGTAAAATGGGTAATTTGCAATAGGACACACAGCTTGTCAATTTCACCCATATTTGCACAGACCAAAGTAATCCTCTTATTCCATTATGGACAATCGAAATCATTCAATTTCAGAATTAACCATGTGAGTCTACTCTAAACTTCGTAATAGTCATGTACACATTTGGAATTTCTCAAATTCCAATGAAATAAAAGGAGCCATTTTCACATCGTTGGCCTTCTAGCATTCCCTTAAGCAATATGCTATACCCTCCCAGGAGGTAAATGCCACCTTGCTATATGGGAAGTTCAGTGTGACTCCCTTGCAACGCAAATAGGAAGCATCTTCCCCACTAAAAGGTACTATCAGCTTCAGAGAAATGCATTTCTATCATTTTAACTGGGAGACACGCCTCCATGATGCCAACAGTAGCACAAACATATTTACAGCCTTCAAGTGAAATGGAATGGATGCACAGAGAAAAGGTAACAATATTTTATCAGCTCATGTTGAATAAAGATTCTTTGCAAGAATTTTCCTCTTCAACTCACCGCACCCTATTCTACTTCCATTTTAGACAACTGAATTTTTCTTCTTATCACTTCAGTTTCGGAGCTGGCCATTCTGGAGCTTCTTTGTTTACTTTATGTTACTTGGCAATTCTTAAAAGATGTTGCCAGATTTCCCAATTGAGCTATTTTTTTTAAACAGCTGAAGGTGATCAAATTACCGAGGAAAACGTGGAAACAAAGACATACAATTGATTTGGCTCCAAAGGCGCCGACTGAAATAAGCAGAGGATTGTATTAAACCGTGATCGGATTAAGTGGGAATGACTGCGCCTTATACTAAACTTTTTAATTGGATTCTAGAGTCACTGTTACACGAAGTGCCTGACCTCCTTTATATTCTGGCAGAGTTCCTGCCTGGCCACTGGGTAAACCTCTGCAGCAGAGGGCCCTACTTTATGCCTCATTTTCAGGCTCCCAGGGAGCCCAGCAGAGAAAGCTGATAAGGAGGAT